TATTATTAAATTCGGTTTTTAAAATAACGTAAATATTAAAATTCTAATATTTTTAAATATAATAACAAGCTTATTAAGCTTTAATAAAAAAATATATCTTATAAAAATAATAAAATATTAACTATTAATTATCGAACTTTTTATAAAAATTATTTTATATTTTTTTAAAAATAATTTTAGTTTTAATAAAAATAACGAGCTTTTATATTATAAAAACTCCGTAATATATATAAAAAATTAAATTATTAATAAATTTATAAATATACGCCTAGTCCTCATTATTTAATTCCGTTATTAATATTCTTAAGGGCTTAATATCGTTTTTATAATCTAAACCACTACCGGCACCTTTTAACCGTTTTCCTTTTACTTATTTTTATTTAGTTTTAAATATAATATTAAAATTAATATAATAAATATAGAGCTATTATTATACGTCGGCGAACTCATAAGCTAAAACGGCCTTTATTTATTTATTATAATTAATAATAATAATATTTAATAAACGAATCGAATATTAATTAACTAATTAATAAATACTTTCCGTAAAGAACCGGAACCTTTTTAATCTCTTGTTATTAATAAAGTTAAATACTATATTAAAAATAAATTTAATATATATCTAACTAATAGCTTAAAATAATAAAAACTTAAAACGATTCGTATTATATATATTATTAAAACTAATTACCTCCGAAAAGCGCCTCTATATTAAAAAATAAAATAAAAATATTTATATTAAATTAATAAGCCGGTTAAGCTCGTTATTAACCTATTTTATAATATAAAGCACCTTTCGTTTATTAAAAAGCTTTATTAAAACGGTTATTAATAAATAGCTATTTAATTTCTCCTTCTTTATAAAGGCTTTAATATTATAAATATCTTATTAAATAAATATAAAATCTAAAAATTATTCCTAAACAATAATATAAATATCAAGGGCTTTAATATTAACTTAGTGGTTAATAACTTTAATAACGTTTTTAATTAATAATATAAGCCTTTAATATAAAAGACATATTAAAAAACTAAAGCTTAGCTTATAATTATATTAAATATATTTAATTTTAATATACCGTTATAAAAACTAAATACTTTTTTCTTTCGTTTTAATAATAATTATTTATTTATAATTATACTTTCGCGATTTTCGTTAATATAACCCCATACCTTTTATAAGCCGCGGTTTATTAAAACGATCGTATTAAAATATATATCTTATCTTTTTACTTTTATATATATATTTATATTAATAAATAATACTAAACCCGTTCTTTTTAATAAATACGTTAATTTAATTAAATAAGGCGTCGATTATAAATTTTAAATTACCGGGAATTTATAAGTTTAAAACTAAATTAAATAAAAGCGAAAACGAGCGTTAACCTAAAAAATAAAAACTTTATAATAATAAAATTATTAAATTTATTTAAAAATCGATAAAAAATACCTTAAATAATAAAAAAAGAATATAAAAATAAAAATAATAAAATAAATATATTAAATAAATATAATAAATAAATATAATAAATAACTTTATTTCCGTCGCTATTATCGAACTCGTTTAAAAAAATTAAAAAATTCTTTAATTAATTTTTACCTTTCCTTTACTATTTCTTTAACTAAACGTAATATAAATTCAAATTCTTTTATAAAAATAGCTTATATAAATCGATACTCTTCGTTTTATAAAGTAAATTTAAAAATAAAATATAATAAAAATAAATTATATTTTAAATTAAATATTAATATAATAATTTAATAAATCTAAATAATTATCGTCGAAAATATCTTATAAAAAAAGATTTTATAATTATTTTATATTTTAATAAATACCGTATCGTTTTTATATAAACTATAAGGTTAAGTAATTTAATAAAATTAATTTAAATAAAAAATAAAAATATTTTTAAACGTATTATCGTTACTAAAATTATAATAATTATTAATATTTATATTTAAATTATTAATAATAAAAGGTTATAAAATAAAAAAATATTTATTATATCGCCGTTTTAAATTAAACTCGTTACTTAAGTTTAAATTTTTAGCTTAACGTAACGAATTATATTTTAATAATAAAAAAACGGACTTAAATATAAGGGATTTTAATATAAATAATATAACGACAAAGCCTCGATTAATTAATATAAATAACGTATTACGATTATATATAAAAGAAATTCTTAAATATTTTAAATAGGATTAGTAAAATTAAAATAAGGTAATAGCTTTTTTAGGTTAATAATAGTATATAGTTATTATATTTGTGTAAGAGTTATGCCTGTGTATTAATTGTTTATGCCCGTGTATTAATTCCCTTATTAATATTTAATAATAGGATTTTTATAATTAAAAATAATATTATAATTTTTTAGTAAAAAGAATAAAAAAAAATTACCTTTATTAGCTTTATATTACGTAACTAATAAAAAGAATATTAAATAAAATAAAATAAAATATTATACGCTTTTATATAATAAAAATAAATAATATATTAATAATCCTTCTTAAGATTTTCTTATAAATATCTTAATAAAATCTCTTAAATATATTATAAAAGTTTTAAAAAAAACCTTTAAAAAATCTTAAGGATTTCTTTATAATTTCTTTTAAAAAAATCTTAAAGAAATTTTAAGGAAATCTTAGGTTTTTTTAAGCGTTTTTTTTTAAAGGAAATCTATGGGAAATCTTAAGATTTTCGCGGCCTTTTCTTCCTTAGGTAACCGTATACGAAAAATAAGAAATCTAGTTATAGACCGTAACATAAAAAAATCGTATATTATTAATATTTATTAATTAAAAATAACGTTTAATATTATAAAAACAGTATAAACTACGGATTTAATTAAAAAAAAACGTTACTATACTAAATAAATAATTAAGCTAATAAATAATAAACTTAAATCGCGGGCTAACTTATTATTTATTAAATTTAACTTTTACTAAGTTTTATATTTTTATTAATAAATTGTTTATAAATAATATAAATCTAACTTTTTAATTTAAATATATTATTATTTTAATAAACGAGGTTATAAAAAACGACGAATTTACGATATATAATAATATTGTTTATTATTTATTAATTAAAAATAAAAAAATAATTAAAAACGTTTTAACCTCCGAGATTTATAAAATAATTAATAATATTGATTTCGCTTACGCGATCTTTATTATATTTAAACGGATTATAAATCAATTAATTTTATTTATAACATTAATAATCGTTTACACGGATTCCTATTTATTATATAAATACTTTATTAAGTTAAATATTATTAAAAAAAAAAGTTAATAAATATTATAATTTTATAATAATTATACAAGCGATATAAAATTTTCAAAATTTATTAAATTAATAGCGAAGATAATTTAATAAATGTTTTTATTAAATAGAACTTAAACCTAAGTTTAGAACGATTTATTAATAATAAAACAATTATAATATAAATAAAAAAATAAGTTATATAAAAAGGGCTTAAGAAAAAACCGGAAAAAAAGTTATAAATATTATTTTTATCGGTATATTATATATTATTATAAGATCGTCGAATTATTTTTTTAATTATATAAGTTTAATAATAAAAAAGAAATAATTAATATCGAATTAAAAGCCTAATTCGACCTCGAGTTAACGTTAACGTAGGGGCTATTTAAGGGTCTTTATATTAGCATTTAACCGGCGATTTAATTTATAATTAGAACCTCTTTTTTCTACCTTACGTAAAGATTAATATAAGAGTAATTGACCCTTTGTCACCACGGTTCGATCGAATAAATCACCTTGTGATTACGTAAACCAACACAAAAGCACTACGCCAACACCAATACCCACAGATAATAAACAAGTGCATATACTAGTCCCAATGCATCAGCAACATTAAGTAAGCTTATACGATTACACTCAAGCATTCTAAAAATATAATAGAACGAGAGTTAACCAACACTATGGCACAACCGCGTTGATACGGAAAGACATTTATGCTTTTCTTTAGTTCCTTTAAGTTCCGTTGTAATCGATTATATTGGACTTTGAATCTTTGAATACTGCTCTGCTTTTCTTTCAAATCACACGATTGTTGTGGTCTGACCCTAATGAATTATTAGTTGCTAAGATGCTGAGGTATGTTAAGTAATTAACTAAAGGGATTATAACGTAATAAGGTTTCATACTGTCAGTGCCGACGGGTTACGTACATAGGTTTTGTCATTCTTTAGCATTCTTAAAAGTATACAACTTCTCTCCGCTATAGTATTTATAAAGGTAAGTGCATCTATCCTAATACTTGATATATTTTAGTGGTTAAAAGTGTTTAATTAAGAGTTTAGATAATAAGATAAGTTTATTAAAGGAGTATCTAAGAGAGCGCGGGGTATAATAACCCGTGTCTTAGGGATAACAGTATCATATACCCAGGCAGCCGGGCAGATCACAGTCCTACGTAGCGGTCAATATACCGGAAAGAAACCAACAGACCGCCATTTAGCGATGAGTCTTTGTGAGTAAGCTCAGTGTATGGTTCAAAAAAGGCCCCTTAAAATCGGCGCTGTTTAGTGCGAAACAGAAACTGTCATACTGGTTAGAAGTGATGGGTAAAAGTGGTGATGAGGCGTTCTTAGGATGGGCGGAAAGTAGGGTAGCTGGGTTGTAGGGTGCCTTCGGGGGCCAAAAGCTAGCCAATCCCGACGCTAGAAGACGTGGGGGGTATACGACCGTAGGATTTTATCGCAAAGCGAGGTATCGAGCGGAAGGCATGTGTAACAGAAAGTAAGCAGATTGCGCTCCGCTTAGAGACGCCCTTACACGGGATCGTGAATATAATCATATGCCGTAAGGAGCCAGCCCCCTGAACGGTCGTTCGGTGGTAAGCGGTATCCGGTGGCAGTATCCTGGATAGCGCCACATGCGGCGCTGCGACCGAATCGTAGACGGCTATTATTATTGACAACTCAAATTACTGTTAGCTCCCGAATGTTGGATTATGAGCCTTTGGCTACCCTCGATGGTTATCATCGTGTGCTTTCACATCCATTTTGACAACCTTCAAGCCACCGATCAATCTCTTCCATGTCGCTGTGCTTCCCTCACCCGCATTTCCCATTGTGAGTGTTGGGATATGGCCGATAATAATCAACCCCGTCCTCGCCCGTGTCAAGGCAACATTCAGCCTCCTCATGTCTTTCAGGAACCCAATCTCGCAGTTTTGATTGCACCGCACCGTCACAAACACGACAATATCCGCCTCGCGCCCCTGGAACCCATCGATGCTACAGATCTCAACCAGCTTGTGGCTTGAGAGCGTCTGCTTGAGTAGGTCGGCCTGACGGGTGTAGGGCGTCAATACCGCGATGGAAGGCTTCGGCGCTTCTGCTGATGAAGATGATGCTCTCAATCTCGGAGCTTCTTTGTTAAGAAGGTCGCACACTTTTCCGCACAGCGCAGCCTGACCTCTATTGCACTTTGACTTCTGACCCAGGTCTTCCGGGGTGGCGCAATCGACAAAGACCATGCGGTGGTGGTGCTGAATATTTAGTCCCTTCGGATCATCATGGGCTTCCACAGGGTGGCGGGAATCCTCCACCACCGGCCAGGGAAACATGGATGGAAACATAAATCTCTCGTCCAACTTGATGCCTGTGCGCAACTTACCCTCGTAGAACTCGTCCGAGGCAAACCGACACATCTTTTCGTGCATCCGGTACTGGGTATCCAGCATCACCTTCTGAACCCCATTGCCGTCTCGCAGGGCGGCCTTCCACAACCTTTCAAACAGCGATACGTCAAAGTCGAGCGACAGCGCGAGTTGCCCCACCGTCGGTCGCAGCTGCACATGATCGCCAACCAAAATGGCCTTCCTGCATCCCTTGGTTAGCGGGACCAAAGACGCAGGCTCAGCCTGTTGCGAAGCCTCATCGATGACGACTATATCAAACTCTTCACCCCGCAGAAGACCTAACCCAGCGCCTATACAGGTCGTGAATACCAGCCGCGCATGTTTCATCATTTCTTTTGCCTTACGCATGGCGGCATACGAACCGTTGAGCTCTTGTCCTGTCATGGCGTCAAAGGTATATTTACGCAAGTCTTCGGCGACTTTCCGTATCTAGTTCATTGATCGTTAGTAAACTCATTATTCTCTCGCAGACGTGAATGTAAAGTAAAGGTTCGACTCTTACCTCTGTAGATATTCGGACCGCAGGAATCCTGGGGTGGCCGTTGCCGTCGGTCCGGCTTGAAAGGTACCTTCTCATCACATTGTCCACAGCGTTATGCGTCGGCGCCGTGACGAGGATGCGTGAGTTTTGGTGCTGACTCTGAAGCTCTCGTATCATTTCCACGATGGTGTGGGTTTTGCCTGTTCCCGGCGGGCCCCAGAGACAGGTCATCGGGTGCTTGGCGGCAGACTCGACAGCCTCATTCTGGCATCGGTTCAGCGTATTCTTTGGAACATATTCCGGTCCGTCGTCATCATCTTCAGGTTCTGAAGAGACAGCTCGGCAGTCTTCGATGCCATGGATCAATCCGGCGATGCCACAGATGCTATACGTCCCAAGCGCCAGATCCAAGGTGGCATCCAACATGGTCTTGGTGGTAACAAACGGGCCACAGACGCACATTTTCCAAGAGCAATGCTCTAGATAGGGGGGTATCGGATGGAGGCATTGGAATTCAGCCCTACCCGGGCTCGACTGAATGACGAGGGCATCCATGGAATAGAGGCTCGTAGAGAGAGAGTTCGACGGTGACGATGCAGCCGTTAGACGTACGTGAGTTGACATCTTGGGCGTGCCACCCTTGGCATCGAGCCGGAAGTCGGCTTGAACCACAGGCCATCCATTATCCGTGTCCCGGAGGTAACTCAATGAAAGGAGACCTGGGCTTTCGCGGCACTGTTCTGCCGCCTCCTCCACATGTTCGATGACAATGCCGGTCAAGCTGCGTAGAAAATGTCGAATGAGCGCTGGCCGCTCCGGTATCAGTCGCATACTCTCCCTTTCAAGGCCACAAAGGAGTATGTCTAGCGCTAGAGAAGGTGACCGAACCGTAAGGGCAATTATCTCCATCAATCGAGCGTAGGCAGAGATGGAAAGGATACGGGCGCTGGCTAGTATCCGCAGTAATGGCGAGAGCATCATCTGGTCGATGGTATTGGCAGAGAGAATCATGGCTCGTAAAATATGCTCGACACGGGCATCTAGCACATCCGCCAAATGTGTTGGAAGAACTGCCTCACCCACCTGGGAGAAGGTAACTGCCAAGAATGGGCACTGCCCCAAGAAGTTGAGCATCTCTCCAAGGACCAGGTCTGGTCTCACTGCCCCGAAGCTCTCGTTTTCAAAGCTAGCGAGCAGGAAGTTGAAGGAATGTAGTAACGTCTCCTTCTCGTCCCGCTCCAGTAACCACCGAAATAGTTTTGCGTACTGTTCCGGGGTTTCCAGGCCAAGAAGCCTTGTAAAATCTTGACGCAAGACAACGTTAACCATGTAGTCGGGCTGAGTCTTCCAGTCAACCTCCCTGACAGTGGGATTCTTATACTCCCTCGCGTTACGCTCAAAGAGAGGGACTTCTTCCCGAGTGTCAACATACTCGAGCCAAAGATCTAAATTTCGCAGCGAGTCGACGTCTCTGTTGGAAATGATGTATATTTCCTGAGAAGAGTAAGTCAGTTCGAAACTCTGTTGTAGCTGTTGTGTAATACGTAGAATGAAAAAACAAGATGAAGTTAAAAGAACGACAAAGGAAGGGACTTTACCTACCGCTCCTTGAACGCCGTTCCTATTTACCCGTCCCACATGAGTCTGCAACCCCCGGCTGAACTTTTCCAGCGCTATGCTTGCCCGACAGTCAAAATTGACGCCGCTGTAAGTAGTCGCTTGCCTCGTACGTCTCTTATCACTCTCTATTTTGAGGTTCTGATAGCTAGAATCATCCGACGCACCACGCCCGATGAAGACCCACGTGTTTCGCCTCTGACCATCAAAGAGCTGGAAAACATTACTGTCGCAGTACACCTGATAGTTAACCTTTGTCGGCAGGCTCAATCGATTCGACGTCTCAAAGCCCTTGGAATGTGGAAACGCAAACAATCGAGCTTTGTTGCCAATTTTGCAATCTGCCGACGGCTGTATCTGCTGCGGAATGTAGATTGCAATCGTCAAGCGCTCGTCCACCCGGAGCACGATCAGTTTTCTATGGAAAATTTCGAGTGCTTTGATAGCCTTATCAAAGAAAACGGCGAGGCGATCCCTCGATGAGGTATAGAGGCACTTCCACCGAAGGGATGGGTAGTGTAGCTTGAATTCACATAGTTCCGACTCCTCCAGCAGATATGACTGGCAAAGCGCGTTACGCACCAGGCTTGGGTAGTTCTGCGTAACGGGAAGTTGGCTCAATGCCCATGCCTTCTGCTCCGCTGTAAGAAGCGTGTAGTTGAAAAAATGGGCAAAGTCTTCGAGAGATGCGCCGTTCCGAAGGCACCACCCAAAAGTGAGTTGCATAAGCTCAAACTCGGAGACGGCAAAGTCATCCCGACTCAAAAGCATCTCCATAGCGTCCAAAGTGTAGCCTTCACAATCAATTCTTGCGGCGGCTGCGTTTTCCTCCCGATTTCGAATCATCTCTCTTGCGGCCTCGTGAAGCTGGTCGAGGACAAAAGACGGTGCTTCCGGGGAGGGTTCAGGAGGCCTTTCGAGCTTCGGCGGGACCTTGATCCGGTTGCCATCAACGCAGGTCGAGAAGAGCCGGTTCAGCTCCTGACACGGCGGGCTCATAGGGCCCGAGAACCTGGCCCAGCTGAGATAGAGATTCTTGATTTTGCCAAGCGAAGCATTGGTGTACTTAGCAAAGTAGAGGAGACGATCGTCGTCAGTGATGGGCTTGAAGGACACGGGCTCTCTGGCTCCAGGGTAGTCGGCTGCCTGAGAGACAGTGGACGGAATGATATCCTCGTCCCAAGAAACGAAAACTACATGTAAATCCTTACATTAGCCCGACACAGCAAGAAAAGCTTGAAGATGGCAAACGCACATTTGTCGCCGTCCAAGTCACCCCCCGACATGAGATCAGCAGCTGGACGCTTTCCTTTGGTGGAAAAGACAATACAGTCGACAAGATGCGAGAGCTGCCGCCTCTGAACAACCTTGAACTTTTGCAAGTCCCCGGGATGCAGACAGGGATTTCGAGTGACGACCACTTCCGTTCCCATCAGTGTGACGGGTAGCCCGTCTCCGTCCATCGTAACTCTGACCTGGCACTCGCCCTCTTTCAGGACATCCCAGGCATCGCAGACACCAAATAACAGACGTGATTTTGGAATGAGTATGCGGCAGCGCTGCTCGTTGCCACTGGCTTTTACCATCTTAGCGTACTGGGAGTTGACGAGCGCCGCTACTCTGGGCCTGACAACATCAAGGGACTCTAGAAGAAGTCTCTCAGCGAGCTCGTACTTGTTCACGTATGTCAAGAAACGAAACGCCGCGCGGGGGTCAGTGGTAGCGCTGGCGAGGAAGTCAAAGTGTTGTCGCTGTTTCCGCAGCAGGACTTCGGATGTAATGCCCAGAGAATGGAGCAATAGAATAACTTCGTCATTAAGATGGCCGAATTCGTAAGGCTGGCACGTATTTCAGCTGTTGAAAATTCTTTGGCACCCGAATGGAGTGATCTCGTCTAATGACAATACTGGCAGACCGACCTTGGAGTATTCAATAACCGAAAAGCTACAATCGCACCCGCCGCTGAACTTCTTCATTGACTTGCGCAACTTCAGCAGTATCACTTCCCGCTTCATCGTCGGATCCACTGTCACGACCCCTTTGTACCCTCGATACCGAATCTGGAAGACGGACGGAGTGTACCGAACAGTCCTAAAGACGATGTTAATTCTTCTCGCCAGCTCTTGGGCGAGATGCGGAGCTATGAGCCCGCACCCATCTGTGAAGATGTAATCCGCCGTTTCGACATCGGAAATGTCCTCGCAGCGCTTCGGGTCAACAGAAATGGTCGTATGCGCCGTCGAGAACAGAAGTCCGATTCTCTTCGCCTTCTTCTGCACCGTCTTCATTTCTGCAAAATTACCCATGGTATCCACTATTCTTGTGATTTCTCTTTTTGGGGCAGCGAACAGGAAGCATGTCCGCGACTTGAGCTGGCTGTTGCTGTGGCCGTAGAAGTTGTACAATGTTCCGTTGATAGACACACCGGCACGCAGGAGCTTGATAATATATTCGGTGCATTCTCGTGGGGTGGAAGGCTGAGTGCCCACGGCAGCGGCGGACAGAGTACTCAATGCACAGAAGTCGGCAAATGAGATGACGACAAGTTGGTCGAGCGAATATGAAGAAATGGCACGACTGGGAGAGGCCAACTCAAGGCAGAGGCCAAGTTGGTGGCGAGAGTCCTTGGTGGTAAGGGTCAGAGACTTGACTAGGCCGGCAGCATTGGTTTGGAATGGGGTTGGGAGGGAGGAGATATCATAGTCCCATTCTGTATCGCCAAGAGACACCGACTCTTGGACGACCTGGTGATATGCTTTCAATATCGACGGCGCCATGTTGTTTGCTAAACGGAAGAAAGAGCCTTAAGGTTGGATGTCTACCGCTCTGGGTTGATAGGTACGATCTTGCCACCAATAGAATCGAGACCCCTCCATCCCGGCTGATGTTGATTACGGGTGATGACGACACGCGACCTAGTACCCTGCAGATAAATCATTACCCAAAGTTTGATATCTATTGCACACTACGTAAACGCCGGCCATGGAAGCGGGAGGAGCTCGCTGACTTGGCATTAAAGGCCACAATCTTGATCAAACCTGACTCTATTCACACTCAAAATCTCGTTCAGGAAGCACCATGGGCTTCCCTAACCATCGCAACATCTACATCATCGGCGCTCAATGCACCGGTAAAACAACCCTCGTCAACGCCCTCGAGAAATATTTCACCACCACCCAACCGTCATCGAATGCATGCCCTCCTCCCGTTATCATCCGCGAAGTAGCCCGCTCCGTCCTTCGCACCCATGCCTTTACGGCTGCTGATATTAGGTCCTCCTGCGACCGAGCTCTCGAGCTACAAACACTCATTCTCCACGCCCAAGTCTCTGCAGAGCGTCACGCTCTTGACACGGCGGGCTGGTTCATCTCGGATCGCTCGGGCGTGGATTCGATCTGTTACGCGCTTACCTACGCTGGGGAAGGAGGGGCTTCATTACTGCTTGCCAGTGAAGAATGGCGCGACTTGAAAAAGAGGATGGCCGAGGCTCTCGTCGTCGTCTGCGAGTCTGGCGCAGATTGGCTTCACGATGACGGCGTAAGGCTGATGCCGCTTGAACTCAACGAATGGATCGGTCTTCATAACGCGTTTTGTAATCTGATGAATGATTTGGGCTTGGCGTTTGTCGTCTTGCCTTCCAATATGACGGATCTCGCTGACAGGGTGGACTTCGTCTTATCTAGGACGCATCTGTGTGGGAGACGCCCTTGAGTACTTAGAATAGAAGCCAAAGCGCGTTCTTAAATTTATCGGCAGTTAAACTGCCCCGTACCTACTTGAGATAGCGTCATAGTGTCTCCCTCGTCCTGTGTTGAATGTTTATACCTCAAACGGCCAGACGAAGTCCAGTCTGACCTATAATATAATAACAATCTTTAGATCATTATTCATCAATTACAAAGACCTTTAATAAAGGTTCTTATATTTTTAACTATTTTTGATATAAAGTTAGGTTTTTGTTTATTATTAAAAACGCTCGTATAGATTATTTTTTTAAAAGAAAAGTATATTATTCAAATATTAGTTTAATTTTCAAAAAATATTGTTTACTATATCTTTACATTCTTGTTCCTTAATTATTTATTTCTAATTATATCTTTTATTTAGTGAGTGCTCTATTTAAGTACGCCAGTATTGAAATTTAAAATATATTATGTACTCTTTGTATTTATAATATTATACCATTTCAACCCAACTTGCAGGGCAGCATGCCGTTCTGGACGCGCGGCAGTGCCATTGACGTGCACGGCGTGTCACTGGTGGTGTCCTACTTTGCGGATGTTAGCCAGCAGCAGGCGGCGGAGGACGGAAATTTGAATCTGATCACCTCCCAACACCCCAACGGATTCGACTAGGAGAGCATCGAAGTCGTCGGCCGCAGTTCCCTTCTGGTCAAGGACGGCCTTACGGCTGGATCACGACTGAGAGTTGCTCATCGTTCCGACGGCGAATAAATGCAGGAGTAAACCATAGCACTAACGGACTGGGTTCGGGCGAGTTGATTTCTTTCCCCACAATGTCAGGGGTCTTCAGGTCGTAAACGTCGCGTTTCAACGCCTGGATGTATGCAGAGAACTCAGAGAGTTCCGAATGACCGCGTAGTGCCGGTCCGCAATGCCAGGGAATCTCGAGGAATTGTGTCCTTTCAGAAAGTTGACAGCGGATTGGTGTATGAAGTTTACAACACCCTGCTGTACGTTGAAAAAAAGACCCGCATGAGAGAACGACCTGCTCCAAAGTTTCCGGGTCAAGTGCGCAATGAATCGACGGGCCCATTATGCAACGAAGTTCCTGTAACGTGACCGGTCTTGCAACCACCGATGTGCCGGCTAGGATATCATGCTCAGTTCCGAATCCCTCAACTTCAATATGCTGTCAATCATTCAACTGTACAGTTCGTCATGGCCCGGAGGCAACTTGGCGAGGACATCATCTACGTGGTGTTTTCGGATGACTATACCGCTTGATAGCTCCCGGCAGACCAACGCTACCCAGCGGAAAGTATGAAATTTTTGGTGAGGTGATTTGTAATTTTGATACAGAGGTCAGGCTTGCTCTTGCATGGCTCGGCTTTGGCTAGGTCCTCAACTTTCTCAAGAATGTAGTTGTTGACGGCTTCGGCGATGTGGTGTTCGTTCAGTTCAAGTGAAAGCATTTTTGCGTAGTCGCCATCGCTTTCTAGAACTTTCTCAATATCCAGCAATGGGCGACTTGAAACAGTCAACCTGGCAGGAGACCGAGCTGATATGTCGTAGACAAACTGAAGAAGTTTCCGGCGATCCACCGAACATTCATCGAGGGCATCCACGATGACGATGATTTCATCCAAGCCTTCGTCATTCAAGATAGACCAAATTTTTTTGCATATGGCCTCCCAGGCGTTATGATCGTCGAAAAATCTTTTGTCGCTATCATTGTACTCTTTGCGAACATGCGATATGAGCCATGAATACCAAATGACAAGGTGATACATCAAACCTCTCAGGACAGCCCTAGCATCTCTCAATTTCACTTCAGTAGCTCGACAGAAGAAGTAAAGCAAGCGTCCAAACGGATCTTTTTTTACCTTCTCAAAGTTGGTGACGTTGTGAAAGCGCGGGAAACGGGTAGGTAGCGATGGTGCTCGAAAGATGCTGTGTCACGAAAATCGGAAAACGAGACGAGTTCGACTTTCTTTCACATGGGCGCAAATTTGCTGGAGAAAGGCCTCGTTCTCAGCTACCCTTGCACAATTGCGTTTTGGGTGAAATACAACAGATCATTGTGCAAACTCGCCACAATGTATACCAAGTCCAGCGTTTTCAGCTCCTCCTTCACAATCATGGATCTTTGAAGTCAATCTTGTGATGGTGCATCGTCTCTTCTCTGACATTGATTTCCCCTCCGTGATATATCGTAGCCAGCTTGGGACGACGTGACGCGATAGTAAGGTAGGTGATCAGTTTCTCTTATGACACATTGGCAACCCCTGTTTTGTATAGGCCGATGGTAAAAGGGAGCAGGTCTCTTCAGCGGTTGTGGGGTAAGTCGAGCGCGTAGCTGAACGGGGCTTTGCTTGTTGTGAATGCTTTGTAGCTGTGTTCTTCGGTCTTCGATGTATAGAGGTTCGATTTGATGGGATTCTCCGAAGTTATTCTAAGAAATGATCTGGATGTAATTAGGGTTGAGAAACCTAATTTGCTCCTAGCGAGCAAACTATATGTCACTAAATGAGACGGCCAAACAAACCATCTTATTAACCTAGGAGTGGATAGGGTCAACCTACTCTCCTCTCTATATCCAGTTCTTCTTGTACCTAGGGAGGTTGGTGTAGAACCATGGACTGGCTTGCATCACTATAAGCAAAATGTCAGCACACATCTTTAACTATCATAAGGCATCGAAGGACTCTTGTAAAGAAACACTGACTGTCCTTCATGTCGAGCCGCAATTCTCTGCCGCTGTGCCGAGAAACTCGAGATAGAAGGCATCCACGTAAGTATTCGAGTTGGTGTTGTCCCAAGGCCATGGCGCCCAGCTGAAGAGATCGTGAGGCACACAAGGAGCAGCCGCGAGAGCAACCTTGGCACCGAGAGACGACCAACCGTGGGGGAACAGAGCGTTAGTTAGTCTTCTGGATGATGTATTCCCAATCTTTGGCGTTGCCTGGTCCCTCAAAAGTCAACACTAAAGGGCGTCCCTTCTCGTCGTGGTAGTACGAAGAGAAGGCACAGTAGTTCTTCGTGAGCTGAATGACGCGGTTCGCGCCCCAGGGGCCTCCGCCGGTGTAGTCGTAAGAGAAGATTATTTTGAACCCAAGGGCGTCGGCGGCCTCGATGGCCCTCCCCAGAAACGTCCCCAAAGATGGATTGTCCTGGCGGATATTGAGGGCGAATCTATTAATGTGAGCTTGCTGGGCGAGCCTGTTGTCAACCTTCTAGGAATCCACGGACCATTATTTGGCATATTCGACCTGTCCCACTCTCATCAGCATGACTGCCGACTGGCGGCTACCTATGTCAAACACGACTCTATGGTGCCATGGAATGTTCGAAGACCGCCTTTGATTGCACTCGCGCACAACGCAAAAGGGAAAGTACGACGCCAAAAACACGCGTGCTGGAGCAGACGAGCCGGCGGATAGGGAATTTGAGAAAGAGGGAAAATAGGAACGAATTATAAACCTTAGTCTTGGTTGAAAGTGACGAAGAGTCATCATTGGAGAGTGAGCGAATATTTCTTAAAAACTTGAAGCGAGTCTCATGCCGGTATCACTAGTGACTTCCGTTCGCTCAAGTTGTCGAGTAGAGCCGCCATGGCATTGTGTGTAAGGCGACGAGACCGCGACGACCTGGATCTGGTCCCAACGGGATTGCATCACGAATTTCTGTTTACATATGCTGCGCCGATGATACCATGTAAGTCTGTTGGTTGAATGTTGCAGCCACCACTGACAGGGGCACGTGTTTGATTGAACACGCCAGAGACGGACTTCTATTGCCCGTCTAAGCATTATGGAAGGCCTCCGTTATTTCAAAAATCGTTTGAGAGACCAAAATCCATGAGAAATTACAAATGCTTTGTTATGCGGCAATCTTGTGAAGCACGGAATATCGCGCTTACGCGATTCACTTTTGACCACTTTATACAAGTATACATGTATTGCCAAACTCCAGGGCTTATATTTTGCGACTGGTGTTGTTCAGTGAAGTGCCTTCCATTGGCAAGTATTTTTCGTCACTCACGTTCCCTTGGTGTACTCACATGCACCCTTGAAATGGCGCGTAGCGGGAATTAAAGAATGCCATCCGAGTCATTTTCCTCGGCGGCACAGCAGTGTGGTCCACACCATTTCGGCAGTTTATCCCAAAGATCACGTCTACCGGTTGGTCACATCCCATCCCGTAGGCACATTTGGCTCTCAAGCCTTGTTACAGACAAGACCAGGGGAGTATCCGTAATTGGAGTCTCTTTGGCGAGACGGGCTGGCGCAAGGGGTCCTGAAGAATCCAAGTCACATATGGCACAGTAGTGCAGGGTGCAAAGGTGGTAGTAAAGTCTGTTGGTTCTTGGTGTCATTGTCGGCGGAGCAAGTGTGGGACCTGGGGTCTAATTAACTCGCAGATCTAGCTAGGCCAATCATCTGACAGATTTAACCGCTACAGGCTGTGATAGGCTGTGATGCTGGAGTTATGCTTACTGAAAATGGCAAGACGTTTGACTTCACGGCGAAAGAAAGAAGAGGCCATTCTGGGCTCTTGCCGGCCAGGGGAAACTGTTCCGTTGCCGCCCAATTCCTCGAACTGATGCCTAGCCCTTTTTACCGACATGAGTTTAAATTAGTTCTGATGCCTTTGCTCAAGTGGGGTATTATCATCCACAGCTCTGCCATGCATAAACTCTACAGATGCTACACAATCGTTGAGCTATGATTTCTTGGGTCACTTTCTGTAGCGACCTCACGGTAACTAAAACCCGCTACGACCTTGACAAGAGCATTTGGCGCTGTGAAACAGGCTATGTACTACAATCTGGTGGATTTTCCACTCCCTCTTTCCACTCCCTCTTTCCACCCCCATCCACCCCTTTGCTTGCTCCTACTTTTGAGTGAGCTGTCGACGGCGATGACGCTCTATTAGCCACCAGCCTGAGATGGGTCGCACCGCCGTCCCCGAGGCATCTTGGACTTGAAAGCCTGGGATCCCGGCCACAAACTCGGCTTCGATCTTCCAACCGCCTTGTTCTGATCCCCTAGTATCGTCAAGCACAACTACCGGACGTGTTGTGACGGACGCCGGAATGTGTTCAGCACTGATGACAGGGAATTTGACTCCATCTAGCGCTAACCGGCTTCCCCCTGCGCTTTGGCTGTTGAAAGTTTTCTGGCGGTCACCGGAAGCATCCCACCATGAAAATGCAGTGATCCACCCGATCAACTTGACCAATGTCCCAGAGCCGTTACCACCGGATTCATGGACCGCGCGCATCCAGAAGCTCTTCACATCTGCATCTTCAGGCCGATCGAAGCTGGCCACCATGTACTCCAGAACTTTGGACAGACAGGCGGCCCATTCAACCGTTTCATCACTGAGCGACGCCAAAAGTTGAATGCTATCCAACATCTTGGCCCAATCCTCCCGATCGCCTAGCGGCGTGACCGAGGGGAAGCCGCACCCGACCCGGATCTCGTAGCTGAAATAATTCTGCATAGTCCCCAAGAAAGCAATCGCTGCGGTGGCCCGGTCATTCTCGGTCGTCGTGCTAAAATCAAGAAGCAGTTTTGTTGCGACAGGATCTTTGATGCTGCTCTTGACGAGCTGAACCAGTTGAGTCAAGATGACGCCGATGTCGACTGTGGCTATGTGTGCGGGCCTGGCGTCTACCACAATATGCTTGCGACCTTTGTGCTCCACAAACTTGTTGCGAAGCGCCTCGGGGCGCCCTGTCCCGTTGACGAAAAAACTTAGTTGTACAACAATGGCCAGCCATACGTCGTCCGGTCGCAGGGTCAGGTGTAGGTCTTGCTGAAAGGCACGGATAATCGTGTTGGAGAAGCCGTGGCCTCGCGGGACAACACCCGGACTCCCGTCCAAGGAATCAAACGAAGTTCGTAGGATATCATATCTGGGAGGGCCATAGCCTGGGACGTATCTAAGTACGTCGGCCGCTGAGGTCGCGATAACGTCTGTGTTCACCCCGACAAGGTGTGGTGGTGGTCTGACAATTGTTGGCATCTTGTAAATTCTGGAGGGTGTGAAGAGGAGAATTAGCAAAAGTGGGTGAAACGGCACGAACATGGGGAGGGGTTTCTATTAGATGTTTTTTTTTCCCAGTTGGGAGGACGTTGTTGGGTGGAAGGTCACCTCAATAAGTAATACTTAATCCAGCTTTGAACTAATGAAAGCGCAACGCCCACTACACCCATGACTTCGACGCTCACGCTCATAATTACCCACACGCAAATGTTAATTATGTTGGTGACGTTAACTGAACTATTGCTAACCTCGCAATCCTGCCCATCCGCGCGTGTGTTTGCTACTAGTTCGCTGCTGGGAAATCTTTTACTGTCGATCTGCGGATGGACGAGGCGGAAGGGGGAATCACGACCGTTTCCCATCAGGTAGCAATCAGCTAACTTATTCGGGCCATCGTCACATCGAACGTCTAACACGGTATAGTGGCTGTTGCCATCTACGCCACTTTGTACGAAGAATAACTGGTGCGTGTTGTCCGCTCCAACTCGTGGAATGATTATTTCAAAGCCTTCTAACTCTGCCCTGCAAAATTGCAAGCAAAGTAAGCCTCTCCCTCTCAGAGCCAGACACTGAATCCCCTTATCTGAGTCAGCAACCTCCACGAAACATCTCCAGCTTGGCACGGGCAGTTAGTGCCACGCCAAGGAGGGCCCCACTTCCCGCGGTTTGCCGCCGCAAGCCGGGGTAGATTAGCAAGGCACTTTTTTCCCCGAATCGAGCCCACGACTATTCCACCTAACGAGCCGCCGCCGACTCGAAAACATCGTCTATAGGCTGGATTATTCGAAAGAGTAGACCTCGTTGTTGATGACGCATCCGGGACGGCGTACCAAGACGGCCGTATCAAGGGGCCCGCTCTTGGCCTCCTTGTGTTCCGCCCGGATGCCTTCTACCAAGGCAAGCAAAGCCTTCCCGCATAGCCTTCCTATAGCATCGTCCGCCAATGGCATTTACTATTTCGTAGTGTAGGGTAAGAGCGGAATGGGTTATCTTTATGATTAGGCGCTAAGATAATAAATTACGTATTATATACATAGATTCGTTTTAGAGAATATATGCCCGGTTTATACTTAGGAGAGAGACGTAATAGGATAAGGGATATAGGCTCGGATTAAATATTTTCCCATATCTCGGTTAACATACCTGCCTTAGTTTATTCCGCTTCACCTTACGTCGTGCCGGTGTCCCCTTTCCAACCTACCTCCTGGTCTCGTTCAGTAAGTCCGAAACTGCACTACACCACTCTACCTCCACTCATCCATACATTCAGACTGATGTTTTTCATTGATACAGTGAGACCGGACCATCTCTTGACAGCTTCCACACAGTCCTGTACTGTCAAGTTCTACAAAATGTCGCCGAACACGGAGGCCGTCAACGCTGGCCTTGTCACTCGGCTTCTCGTTATCCTCTTCGTTGCGGCACAAAACCAGAGATATCTTCGGCGGTTATGGAAACGCTCGCCTGGTTTGATGTCTGTATTCAACATGTGCATCAAGGTCAAGCCAGTTGCGAGCCTAGCCGAAGCCAACGCCATGCGATATGTCGCCCGACACACCTCCGTTCCCGTGCCGAAGGTACACTGTGCTTTTGTTTACAAAGGTGACTCCTATCTTGTGATGAGCAAGATGCGTGGTAAAATGGCATGGCAAGGTTGGCAAACCCGTACCGAAGAGTCAAAGTCGATAATTCTCGGCCAGCTCCGCCGGATGGTTACCGAACTCCGCTCCGTACCCCCTCCAGCAGGGGCAAGTATTGGTAGTGTGGACGGCGGTCCATTCTACGACTGTCGCTTACCTTCCAAGTTGCTCTGGGGGCCATTTGCGACGACTCGGGACTTCCATGAGGCTCTTGCAAACGGTGCAGATTTGGATATTGACTATGCGGATCTGCCTGATGACGTGCATGAGCTCTTCGAGTTCTATCGACAGTCAGATACTCAGCTTGTTTTGACCCACGGTGATCTCAGCAGCCTGAACATTTTGGTCGAAGGGGACGATGTGGTCGGCATTGTGGACTGGGAGACGGCAGGATGGTTGCCCCCGTATTGGGAGTACACCTGCGCCAAGTATGTCAATCCTTTCAATAAATTCTGGGAGGCAGAGGTAGATAAGTTCTTAGACCCTATGCCACTTGAGCTGAATATGGAGAGGATCCGGCAGAAACATTTCGGTGCTCTCTGAGTTGTACGCAATTTGGTTCTCCGAAATAATGGTTAAGGCATCAATTCCGTCCCCTCCAACATATCCCAAGTTGCCACTTGTGCCGGATCGTAATAAATAGTCCCATCGAAGCGATGAACCTCCTTTTTGCTCTCAACATAGAACATTGCGGTGTCCCTCACTTCCTGCCATCCGCCGGCGGATGTCCCCAATGCCCTCCCATCCTGCATTGCAGTCAATAACGCCTCCTTAACCCATCCGACGCAATTCCAACCTTCAATGTCGGGTCGGACCGGTGTGCGCTGGAAGATCGACCGCAGCCGATTCATATTTTTAACCTTGCCGACCATGATACGTACAAGTAACATAGAAGTCGGCACCATGGGAATATCCAATTCCTCATATTGCCACACCGATTGTGCCACCGGTGGATTGCCAACAAACCTCAGTTTTTCCTTGGCATGGAAGCGAGAGCCCCGGCTGGTGCTTGATTCTGATTTCGGTCCGACTATAATAGCCCAATGGTACCTTTTCGCGGTCAGCGTATAACCCGGACGGGCTGGGAGAGCACCGACGTGTCTTCTAGGCCGGGCATAGTCGGCGCCCCTCCGCGGGCGTACAAAGCAACATAAAGGCGGTCTTTCTCTGAAGGCATCTTGCGCTTGACTCAGGATAATCAGTCAGGGAGGAATTGTGCGAGTGGAGGTTGAGGAGCGTTGCCAGTCTTGTGCGGCGTTGTCCGGTGCGGAGTGCTGCACTCTTATCTGTAAGGAACGAGACGCCCAGAGATGCGTAGTACGGCCCGAATCATTTGGATGCCTGCTGCAACACAAATACGCGCGCGCGTCCACATCGCGGCTCTTCCAACTATTCAGGATGTATGCCGAACTACCATTTCGGGCGGGGCGGGGCGCAGATGATACGGGCACTGGGGAGACAAAAATAACCATCAAACCCTGGCTCGGGAAGGTATCTCTTGAATAGAGAGGAACATCTAACCCAAGCATAGTAAGTACTTCGACTATAGACGCAGCCATCCTGTCGGGAAATGTTCGTCGGCATCGCTATCTTGAAAAGTAGAATAAGGTCTTTCTGGGCCACTTGTGATAGGAGGCGTCGTAAAGTCGTACGCTAAGTGCATTTTACGTATAAAGCTTTGAGCATTTTTAAACTCTAGATAGTACGTTTTTTACACAACTTAAGAAGTAGTGTAATTAACTTCAAAACCGGCTAGTCAATAGGATGTCTAATCGATTATAATCGGAGCACCGCTACTGAAGCGGGATTGTGCGGATTTTTAGAATAATATAAATAATTCTATTTAAAAATGCATATGGTACCTCGGAAGTTTACACCGTCGGCCTCATGCGGCTTGTGGGTTGTTTATCTAGGGAATACCGAGCAGGAGAACAAACTATACTAAAGTAGAATAACTACTAAGAGATCTTATACAACATTTTGAAAGATACACAACTCTCGAACATAATTGTATAGGTTCCGAAACTTAGCTAGCCCGCGCCCCGAAGTAGTATTATTACTACCTCTGCTTACTACACGGTAAAGCCGGCGTTGACGGGGTAGGTGGCAAACTCCCAAGGCACAGCGCGCTGAAGGAGCTGGTAGTCGAAGCCGTCACCGCCGCCGCTGATATATAAGAATTTGGTAAAGGTGGCCGACGCGGCGTAGGTAAAGGCCGTACCGGCGGGGATAAAGACGAGGTCGCCTTGAATCAACGTTACGACGTCGTACCCTTCGACGGTGACCTCGAGGGCGCCCTCCTCAAGCTGGAAGGCCAGGGGCTGGTTAGGGTTTATTTTAATCGCTGTCTGGTTGGACAATAGGGGACTCAAAGTGACGGTGCCCATGGTGAAGTTATTAGCCGTCTGATTGGCCGTCGCTAAGGGGGCGATAAGGTGGTAGACGCCGCCGTCAGTATTAAGGTACTTTGGCCCACGGTTTTTAGCAATGAAATTAGGGGTAACGGTGTCGGGCGCAAGGGTGTTAGGGGCGGTGTGCCAAGTGTCTGGGCCGCCGGCGCTGCCGTTAACAAGGTCGTAGCGGGGGTTAAAGTCGAGATGGGCGTAGACGTCAAAGGCTTCGAGAGCGGAGATCTGGGCCGGGTCGGAGCCGGAGGAGGAGCCGGAGGAGGCGGTGGGGACGAACTCAGAGCCCATAGGGGAGACGAAGTCAGAGTTAGCGATAGCAACGAAGAGTTCCTCGAAGCCGCCGGGCTGGATAACACCCGTAAGCTGGGTATCCGGGTCGGTGATTTGGAAAGTATGGATCGTGTTATGGGGCACGGCGCCGTAGTCTCCGGGGGTAAGGAGGCGGGCCTGCTCGCCGGAGCTGTTGGTTTTGGCCCAGAGCTGGAGCTGGCCCTTTGTGCAATAGAAGTTCTCGTAATGGACCTTATGAATATGGGGGAGCACGCCCAGGTCGGACGAGTCTGGGGCGTTGGTCTGCATTACGGTGAAAGCGCCAGCCGAGGAGTTGCCTGTGACGGAAAAGCGGTACACTTGCGCACCGACGGAGACGGCACGGCCGGAGCCCTTGCGGAGGACGTAAGGCTGTAAGGTCTCGGGCGCTTGATCAAGGACGAGACTCTTACAAGTCCTGTTCGTATGCTTGAAGGAATGGCCCTGAGGAACCGCCGCCACGAGGGGGAGGCCAGCTGCGAGGGTTGAGAATCTCATGTTGGCGGTTTGAATTTGAACTTTGGTTTTCAGGTTTAGTCGACGATGGGCTCAGAATAGCTCGAAGGCAGGATGGATGAGTGAGTGAGGAACAAGAGCGTTGTCGGGGAGAAATACTCGGAACTTATAGTATTTGGCATCAGGACATATACAGCAGCGTTGCGGCCAGGAAGGAAGATCCTCACTAGGTGTTCGAGCCGTTGCCCCTTGTCCAGACCCCATTGCGGAATTTTCAAGCCAGGGGCAAAATGCTTCTAGGTCGAATTACGAAGTCCGCTTGTCCACCGACTGACTAGTTTTATTAGGTACTAATGCGTAAGCGGCTCTCGTCTTCGATCTAGAATGGCTCCGTCTCATACCACTCTAGTACATATGGGTCTCGAAGCTGTCGCAATACGTCTGGACGGAATTCCCGGTCAACGATATGACTCCATCCGGAAATTCCGGACATGATGTCTTTTTCCACTGGAGACCTCTGAGGGACTCGGCATAGCCGAGTCCCTGAGTCCCTGAGAGGTCTCCACATTTTACACTTAAGGATAGTCTTAAGATACCCAATAAGCTAGTTACCTAAAATTTTTCTCTCTTTCGTCCTCGTCCCGCCGTCACTCAGATGGTGGCTGTGAAAATTAGGGAGGGAAAACTTGGCTCCATTAATCTACGAAGGACGCCGACCGACCGACTGACCGACCGTTCGGTGCCGAGGATAAAAGCGAAGGGGAGAAGGAGAAAAATATGTGGAAAAAGAAAAATTAAATAAACAACAATGTGGGGGGGGGGGGGGGGGGGGGGGGGGGGGGGGAGGGGGGTGGGTGGTGTGGTNTTGGGTGGATGTGAACGGGGTGCGATAGGAGGGGTGGAGAATGTTTTGGGATAAGTATTTGAAATGGTTGGGAGGGTTGTGGGGGGTGGGGTGGTTGGATGATGTGGTAGATGGGCATTATAATTAATTACTTGTTTACCCGGCTATACAGATTCAGACCGAATGGCACGACATTTATACTCGACTATTATTGG